CCCAAAGGGTGCTCATCAATGGTTCCTCTTCATCCTGGAGAAGAGTGACTAGTGGGGGAGCCACAGGGTTCTGTCTTGGGCCCGGTCTTATTCAACATCTTTATCAACGACTTGGATGATGGACTCAAGGGCATCCTGATCAAATTTGCAGATGACACCAAACTGGGAGGGGTGGCTAACACCCCAGAGGACAGGATCACACTTCAAAACGACCTTGACAGATTAGAGAACTGGGCCAAAACAAACAAGATGAATTTTAACAGGAGAAATGTAAAGTATTGCACTTGGGCATAAAAATGAGAGGCACAAATACAAGATGGGGGACACCTGGCTTGAGAGCAGTACATGTGAAAAGGATCTAGGAGTCTTGGTTGACCAAAAACTTGACATGAGCCAACAGTGTGATGCGGCAGCTAAAAAGCCAATGCAATTCTGGGCTGCATCAATAGGAGTATAGCATCTAGATCAAGGGAAGTAATAGTGCCACTGTATTCTGCTCTGGTCAGACCTCACCTGGAGTACTGTGTCCAGTTCTGGGCACCACAGTTCAAGAAGGACACTGACAAACTGGAACGTGTCCAGAGGAGGGCAACCAAAATGGTCAAAGGCCTGGAAACGATGCCTTATGAGGAACGGCTAAGGGAGCTGGGCATGTTTAGCCTGGAGAAGAGGAGGTTAAGGGGTGATATGATAGCCATGTTCAAATATATAAAAGGATGTCACATAGAGGAGGGAGAAAGGTTGTTTTCTGCTGCTCCAGAGAAGCGGACACGGAGCAATGGATCCAAACTACAAAAAAGAAGATTCCACCTCAACATTAGGAAGAACTTCCTGACAGTAAGAGCTGTTCAACAGTGGAATTTGCTGCCAAGGAGTGTGGTGGAGTCTCCTTCTTTGGAGGTCTTTAAGCAGAGGCTTGACAACCATATGTCAGGAGTGCTCTGATGGTGTTTCCTGCTTGGCAGGGGGTTGGACTCGATGGCCCTTGTGGTCTCTTCCAACTCTATGATTCTATGATTCTATTCTATGATTCTAAGATGTTCCACACAATGAGTTTGCATGTCACACTAAGCCAAACGACAGCTTAGCATGAGCACACAAGTGTACAGGCTCCAGGGGACAAAACTGTGATCACTTTGATCACTTTGCTCCTCCTTGGCTATTCTGAGGAATCAACAGGGAAACCCAACCAGATGGGCGGGGTATAAATAAAATTATATATATATATATATATATATATATATATATATATATATATATATACACACACACACACACACACACACACATATATATATATTATTATTATTATTATTATGCATTGTGCTGAACTAAGCTGTGCCTTGGCTTAGTGTTTCATTCGAACACAGGACTGTGATTTAAGCTCTCTCCAGACTAACCATGAGCCGTAAACAAGGTTTGATCCTACCAATGGATGTGGTTTGCTCAGGGGAGCTAAACCAGGAGCCTGGATTTGAATGACACCCAAGCCGAAACATGGCTTGGCTCAGCGCAGCAACAGAACAACCAGGGGGGAAGAAAGAGGCTGCTGTATCTTCTCCAGGAGCCCACACTAAGCTATGGTTTGGTTTAGCATGAAGGAAAAACCAGGACAATGTTATTAGGTTTGTTCTGATTTGTTTTGTCTTGTTCTTTAAACATTCAGTTTTACCATTCGTGTTTTTTATAATGTGGCAGCCTAGGAAATTTCTGAACAATTGCTATTTACTAATTTCTGCAGCAGATGTAGTTCTCATTTTTGTACATGAATAACTAAAAGTTGTGCTTAAAAACACAAACAACAAAAATGAAGCAAATCTTCCTTTGTGCGTAGCTACCAAATAGACTCTGCCTAGGCCAATTGTGCTCTGCTTGTCAATTTGACTTTTTGCTTTCTAAAGCGTAAATCATTTGTTTGCTGTGCTTTGCCTTCTTTCACAAGAAGGAAAACAAAGCAGCTCAACAATGCATTTATACTAACTGAAATAGCACAGCGTAACAAGAAGAATGAAACTTAAAAATTGTTAACTTTATTCTAGCCATCCATATCTATTGGTGGATACATCTTGCTAAGAAACTCTATTTACATCACAAAATGGCCAATTGTGTTCTTCCTCCACCCACCTTGAGCAGGAAGAAATATCAGCAACTGTCATAGAACTATTTCATATTGTGCTTGGTATGCAACTCCTAGAACTTAATGCTGAAAAGATTAAGAGCCTGGGTCACATCAATGTGCCCATGCAGGCCACCTGATAGCTTCTTTCTGATATTATCCAGATCTGGTTGTTGTAGGAAATTTTTAATATCACATGATAGGCAAAGCACTGACATCAAAGGGCAGACAAGCATATTTGGAGCAATGGATCAAATACTCCTCTCCATGGTGGAGCTCTGAAAAGCTGTTTCTGCAAATGTGAAGCTTTTTCCTGTTGTAAGGTAAAGGTAAAGGGACCCCTGACCATTAGGTCCAGTCGTGACCGACTCTGGGGTTGCAGCGCTCATCTCACTTTATTGGCCGAGGGAGCCGGCGTACAGCTTCCGGGTCATGTGGCCAGCATGACTAAGCCGCTTTTGGCGAACCAGAGCAGCGCACGGAAATGCCGTTTACCTTCCCGCCAGAGCGGTACCTATTTATCTACTTGCACTTTGACATGCTTTCGAACTGCTAAGTTGGCAGGAGCAGGGACTGAGCAACGGGAGCTCACCCCGTTGCAGGGATTCAAACCGCTGATCTTCTGATGGGCAAGTCCTAGGCTCTGTGTTTTAACCCACAGCGCCACCCGCATCCCTTTTCCTGTTGTACTTGACACCAATTGGCTCCTTCCCCCCCTTGTGATGTCACAAAGATCTACACTGTCTCTGAAGCTGTACTGAACTTTCAAATAAAAGTTTTCATTTTTCAGAGTAATATGGAAGATGATGAACATTTATTTAAATTATTGTTGCAAGGTTAAAAGACAATGCCATCTCTGGGCAGTAGACAAAACTAAAAGCACAATTCAATAAAGTAATGCCAACAAGCAATAACTGCAGATTAATCAACATGTTAGAACAATGAACAGCCTGGCTTTAAAACATGAAACCAAATGCCTTCAAGTCCTTTTCAATGATTAACAATGCTGGAGCTAGCCACACACGCCTTGTTCCACAAACTAGGGGCCACCAGTGAAAAGGTCCTCTCTCTAATGCTTACCAGTCTCATATCTTTACAGCAGGCTAACAAACAATGTCTCAAACACCAATCTTGGCACAAGCAGGTTTGTATGGATGAAGAGTGTTCCTCAAACAATCCAGCCCTGTACTATTTAGGACTTAAGAGTGGAAACCAGCACCTTCAACTGGGCTGAGAAACACTAGAACCAGTTCAAATGAATGCTGTTGGTGTTAGGATCTGACCAGCTAGTCTAAACAAATACTCACTCAACAAATATATTGTGTACCATCTAAAGTTTCTGAGTCAACTTTAAAAACAGCCCCATGTAGAATTGAGGACACTGCAGCAGCTTAGCCTAGTACACAGACACTTGAAGCAATGTCCCCTTTCTCTAGAGAGTTCAAGCAGTACTTCTTTTAAGATACATGACATGTCTAAAAGCAAGACTAGCTTAGTCTAGTGTTTGATTGGCAGATTTGCACCCCTGACATTTTCATCTGTGGAATCGGGTCCATCTTCACCCAAACTTCCTCCTCTTTCATTCTAACCCTTTAGCAATTCCATGGCATTTCAAGCTCCTATTACACACGTCTTGAATCCCACCCCACCCCCACTAATTACTCTCAAAATATATGTTTTCTATTAATAGTCACTTTATATTGAATCTATTCAACATAAACAGAGTTGTTTTCCTGACAACTGTACTTTCATTAGGCCTTGAACAGCTTCCTATCTAGAAAGGGTTTTGATATCTGATTGTCCTTCAGCAAAACTACAATAAGGAATAAGGACATGGAGAAAACAGAGTTAGAAGTACTAAGACTGGACAGTAGACTTCTATCATGTCAAAGTGCGAGATGCCTAAACAGATTGAGGAAGACACACGGGAAAAGCTTATAAAATCATAAATCATGCAGTGAAAGTAGACTGATTTTCCCACTGTCCCATAAAATCATCACTTGGGATCAGCCAATTAAATTAATTAGCAGTAGAAGATTCAGGACACACAAGGCATAATTAACTTACGGAATTCACTGCCACAATATGTGTTCATTACCACATGAATTCTGGTGTTGGCCAATGTGGTTGAAGGCGTTAAAGGGGAATAAAGAAACTATGACAATAAAATTAAAGCGATCCCATCTTCTGATAAAGCACAGCCTGTTTTACATATAGATGACTGGAGACAGGGTAACAGAAATGAAAGCACAACAGGATAAATATTGTACAGTGGTACCTCGGGTTACATATGCTTCAGGTTACATACGCTTCAGGTTACATACGCTTCAGGTTACAGACTCCGCTAACCCAGAAATATTACCTTGGGTTAAGAACTTTGCTTCAGGATGAGAACAGAAATCGTGCAGGGGCGGCGCAACAGCAGCAGGAGGCCCCATTAGCTAAAGTGGTGCTTCAGGTTAAGAACAGTTTCAGGTTAAGAACGCATCTCCGGAATGAATTAAGTACTTAACCCAAGGTACCACTGTTTAACTTATTTGGTTCTTTGGTTAGGTATGTGACTTGACTTGCCCCGCATCGCTCTGAGCCACTTTAACCTTCACAGCAAAAAAATTACAAATTTTCAGAACCAGCAAAATGTATTATAATGCTTAGTAATTTCCAAAGAGCAATACTGGATTTCATTGCTTAGAGTTGATCACATCAACGGTGCTGTCAATGTTTTTAAGACACAGTTTGCCGTTCTGATCCTTGACAAGGTACATTTTAGAGGATTACAAGAAATATATTCCATCTTAGCTAGGTTTCTCTTCTCTTTCTTAAAAAGTCAATATTTTCACCAGTTGCAGATAGCACTTAATTTTTATTTATTTTTTGTTCTTGTAACAGAAACTTAAAATGAAAGTAGCATGATTGACAAGTACCTCACAGGCAACCCTGGCAACACTTAATTCGACTCCCTCTCCTTTGGCTCCTTAAGCAAAATTCCTCCGCAACTGTTTGTCTTCACAGTAACTCCCACAAAGCTCATTACTGCCAGCCTTAGTCTATCCCTCATGTTGTGCATTTATCTCTGGGGTGCATTATCAACATGTGGCACATGTCCTTGACATGCACAGAAGAGCCTGCACCCCAGGACAGCAGCACGCATGACAATAGTGTTGACTCTCAGTCCATTATGGTTGCTGGGATGTAACCGAGAAATCTAATAACTGTGACAGTGGGCCTTTGGGTTCTGGCTTGCCTTTTCCAGACAGTGAAGCTGCACAGACACTAATGAAAGGTTAAATGAATAGGAATAGCTGACAAGAGGTACAATGAAGAAGGGGCTTGGTAATCTACAGACACTGAGCAGAGATCTTTGGCTCAAGCAGAGAAAGGACAGCACATCAGCAAGTCACAATATTTAAAACAGCTTGCTATACACAGAGGCTTTTGTGTCTGGGTACATGTCTGGCTCTGGAAGGAAAAAAGACCCTGAAAAGGAATTCCAGCATGGGGCACTTCGGCAAATGTAAGGTCACAAAGAGGGAAAAATGTTTTCTGTGTGCTGCTACATCTTTGTACAGAACATTAAAAAGCAGCTATTAAAAAGACACATGAATCACAACTTTTAAGGACAATGAGGCCTGCCTGGCAATTACAGCTGCCTTTCAGAGGAATCCCAACCGATAGTGGAAATGGGTGCTGCATATGTATTTCTTTAAGAACCAGAGTCATTCATAATCCACGCATCACTTTGCCTGCATTTCTTCTTCCTAGAGCTATCAACTTCATTAGCATGAATGTGCAGTATCTGAAAAGGCAAAGGGTTGAAAGATGTAGCTGAAAAAACAACAAGGTTTTACAACTCTTGAAGTCACCTTTTGACTTGAAACAATGACATTTTTTTCCCCAGCACATTTGGGCACTTGATATCTCCTACTCGTTTGCTGATGTGATAATTATGTTCACAAAACATACCAAAATGCCATAGGTTTTTTCCCCCCTCCAAATGAAGGCAAGGGTAGAAGGACAAATAAAGCTGTTAGGCACAATGGGGAAATATTTTAAACAAACACATACCTATTAAAGAACAGCAGTCAAGAGTGAGCTAAAGGAGGGGGTGGGAGATGCATCTCCCCAGAACAGAAAGTAACCTGATCACAATATTGTGTTTGACATAACCTTAAGCATCTTTACTCAGAAGTATGTTTCAATGACTTCAATAAGGTTTACTCCAATAATATTTAGTGCATGCAAGGCTGCAATTGTGCAACCCAGTTTTCTACCTGTTTATTCAGAAGCCCCGCCAGGTTCAGGAAGCCTTAATCTTAGCTAAGTGCACACCCAGGATTACAGCCCAAGGCTGTGCTCATATTCAATGGGGTAAGCCCCATTGAAATCTAGGAAACATTTCTGAGTGAGCATGCAGAGGATGAACAGTATATCTTTTTTTTAAGCTTTAACACCCTGATTCTAAAGACATTTGCTTTAGGTAAATCCTATATATTTCAGTGGACTTGCTCCTATTTAAACATGACAGAGTTCACTTAAACCCACAGTCTCAATCATACCCTTAGTGTGTGTTTTTTACAATGCACTAACTTTAAGTGTACATGTATCACAGTACATTGTATTTAAAACAGTGAAAGACACTTCCTAGGCTAGAGCTCTGTGCCCATTTTTTATATACATGGGACTCCCCTGCAATGGAAGTGTCACAGCTGAGCTTTGCATCAATGAAACTGCCCCATACACAGACTGCAAGTAAATGGTATATATAAGATTGAGTGCAGTTCACTCCATTAAATAGCTATCTATACTGTATGCTCCCCTTTGCACACAAACCACCCCCATGGCAACCTCCTGCATATTCCCCCTCTCACACATTGCAACTGTTAAGCTCCCTTGTCACCTTTCACCCAATTATGAAGCCACCATCTCCTGTAGATCCTGCTGTCATCTTCACCCACATTCCCATGCCTTCTGCTCCTCCATTTTGCAACACACACAATAACATATGTACAGTATCTTTAAGATAAAGATAATAGTAAGCAGCGGGAGGAGGAAGAGAGGGGGACAGAAGGTGAAGAAAGAGCTGTGAGGGGAGGGGAGCCCTTTCTCCATCCTCTGGACCCGCTGAGGAACCCAACAAATCTGCTGTACCTGAAACTGGGTTTGAAGGGTGCAACTTTAATGCAACCTAGCTGTGGGCAGCCTGAGAAATGACCATCTACCTGCCCATAAGAAGCAAGTCTAGAGTGATGTCCGCTGTTTCCAGGATCTCTTCTTATGTGAGACTTTTGTGGGTGAGCTGAGAGTTTGTTTGGATCCACAGGTTGAGAGGGAGGAAGTAAACTAAATTGGTATACATGTAACTTTGTAATTAATGTAACATCTTTATATGCAACTGTGTGTTTTTGCAACATTGTGAGCCCCGTACCAAACAACAAAAAGCCCATTGCAACTACCGGTAAGTCTGGAAATGTATCTGTGGACTGTATTGTATAATAACTGTATACATTTCCAGACTTAGTTGGTTTAGGCTTGACTAGTCCCACTCCATGGCTTTCAATGGGACTTAAGATATGAAAAATCAATGAGGTCCTTTATCCCAACTGCATTCCAAGTTGCATTTCTACATTGCTACATGCACAAGACGGGGCGGGGAGAGATGTCTTCACCCAATGCAACATTACCTAATTGTCTCCTCATGCCTGCAACCCCCCCCCCCAAATCCTTCTATTCCATGAAGCTGTCATCTGTTCAGGTGCAACGACTGTCTCAGATGTGCACACAAATCACTGAAATCACATGTCAAATCAGATGGAAGCTGTTTTCATAGAATCATAGAACCGTAGATTTGGAGGGGACCCCAAGGGCCATCTAGTCCAACCCTCTGCAATCGCAAGAATCTCAGCTAAAGCATCAAAGGGGAAACACATCAAACAGCAGCATTTCTCGATAACTTACAGGATGCATATGAACTGTGGCCAACATCATGTGAATCGGGAACATCATATGTATCTGGCTTCAAACACCAGCACATTGGAGCTGGAGTAAACATCACTGTGTTCACAGCCCTTGTCATGACATATTTCTCTAAAATGGACAAGTAACAATAATACCAAAGGGTGCCTGTTACTTCCTCATCTATACCTACTCTAGATGTCTTACATAACAATGGTATTACCACAGAAATTTCTTAAGAAAAGGACATTACTTTGATTTCAGTAAGACTTTTGATTTCAAGAACGGTAATTAGTTATTTCAAGCTTCACTCTTATACACACTAACCTGGGAGCAGTGTTAGAAACTGAGATATGAAAGCTAGTAGCTAAATGGCACCATAAACTTAGGTTATGGGTGCATCAATGGAATGTCTAGGCGTGCCTTTTTATAACAAGAATACAGTGCTGAAAATGAATGAACTGCAGCTAAAATATTATGTTCATTTTTCACATGGTCTAGTCCTTCCCCTGCCCACCCCCCTAATGTTCTTAAGAGAGTCTCTTCTCCAGTCTTCAGAGAGTAGCTGGAAGTGGGGAGGCAGAAAAAGGTCCACTCTGCAGGTTTAATCTGAAATCTTAGGCACAGGACTGCGCCTAGAGCTCGGAAACTGCTCAAGCTAATGAAATTCCCTGTCACAAAAATGCACCTAGAACAATGGGAGACTGGAACACTGCCTTGCAGTAAGCCCTATTAAAGGTAATGGGAGCTACTTTTGAGAAGACAGGTAAAGCACTGCATTGTAAGCCTATTTTTAAGATATCAAACTTCTCCCGTACATAATAAGTTTCAAAGGTGCCTGGGTATGTACTATATGAATAAAAAGGACTTGACTGGGGAAGTTAAGGGGAGGAACTCCTCTGAAAATCAAAACCACATGCTGTCACTGAAATCAATATTTTGCATATACAGAGACATTATATGTGTGTACACACGTACACACACACACACACACACACCATACAGTCATCCAGAAAACAGGAGCTGTTGGGAACATTTGATTCATCAGGAGAAATACAGTACTTAGACTCGAGGCACTGACAACTAAATCAGGATTCTGCTTCTTCTAGTTCTCCACAAAGGACTTTAACCAATAATCTTCTACAGATATTTCAGATATTATTTTATAAACATGCACAGAGGGGGAGAAAGAAATGAGGCACTGCTTCCCCTAGATAGAAGCTAAGTGTTCTTGATTTTAACTCAGCAACTTTTTCAGTGCCAAAGCTTAAAGAGATGTGGGGGATAAATGGGAACATCTGGTATAGCACATAAAAGGTAAATATTACTTATTGTCCATTAAAAAAAGAACTCTCGCCTAAACATTTTCAATTCACACTTGACTTAGAACCCTTGTACCTTGAAACCTTAGATGGTGCAATTCTTGTACATTTTGTAGGAAATGATTGTCTACTTTTCAAGAATTAAGGCTGCTATGCTAACGCTAACTTAACTTGGAAATAAGTTCAACTGATATAAAAAGCAGAACATACGCCTGCAAATAAATGTGTTGAGGACCAGGATGTACATGTAAGAAAAACAGAGAACATATGAATAACTCACATATTAGGAATCATTTGATAGCTCAAAGTGTTCCCCCCCCTTTTTTCTTTTAACAGAAGACTGGAAATGCCAATAGTAATTTTCTCACTCTGTTTTCACTAAAATAATATTTACACAGAGTATGTGTAATGACTTTTTTCCCTTGTTTAATCCCCTATGTATCTGAGTACTGGATACAATGGAATTACAATTATTTAGCAGGCTATAAATAATGTATCTGGCATGCGCAATTGATATTTAGCATGTCTTACTAGAACTATAAAAGGCTCATTATAGATCAGCAAATCATTTCTAACAAGCAAGTTCAGCTGTGAAATACCGAATGAAACCTTTACTGTACATTGCTGATATGCTTGTGTGTGTGTGTGTGTGTGTGTGTGTTAATGGATATATATTTAATTTAATACAGTGAGGAACATACCACCCAGAATAATTTTTTAAAAAATGCCAAGACACAAACAAACTTCATAACTGCACCACGTCGATGACTGATTTAATAATTTAATTTAATTTAATAAATTGAAACAACAGGAGAATACCCTGCCTATGAAAGAGGGCTGAGTGTCCAGTTTCGTCGTTCCTGAACAGCTGTATTCGCCAGCTTAAGTTGCTCAGCTAATTCCTGGCTTGCAAGGACTAACGTGGAAGCCAAATAAAAAGAAGGAAAGAAATTCACACACACAAAAAAAAGATCAATTTGCTATGAAAGATCAAATGAGAAAACTGTGGGGACAGCACCAGGTCAGAGTGTAGAGAACTATGCAGTCCTGTTCTTCATTAACTTGAAACCTCTTGGGATGCCACACACTACCTGTCCCTGAGCTTATTGAAACGCCTAACGCTAACCCCTGTCTCTGCGCCACTCTTCTGGGCCCCAAGTGAATCATATCCTGCCGCTGACAAGTTTAGCTGGGGGACCACAGCTGAAACATGAAAAGTGCTTTTCTCTTTCTCCCCCGCCCCCACCTCCCTTCTCTAAATCAGGCAGTTTTCTGGGCAGTGGTGGTGGGGAAAGACGACACAGCGTTGACTCAGTGACATGGCGAGATGAAACAAGAGGTCCAGGCCACTCTTGGAGCTTTGCAGATAAAAGTAATCAAATGACACTCCTGGAATGCAAATTGGCATTCTTGGACTGCAGCAATTGCGCAACCCATGAAACATCCTTGACAGCAAAGCAAGATTAGGACAAAATGTTATGTAAAAGCACTGAACGAAAAAAGGGAAAGGGGGGAAAGGGGGGCGGGAAGAAGCTTGCTTGGAAATTCAAACAAATCACATTTACACACCATAACATTGCAGGAGTCAAGTCTGCTCCTCAGCTCCATTCTTTTTACTGCTTTGTTTCATGTAAATGCATAACCCAGTGTGTCAAAGAGACACACACAGAGAGAGATCCTGATCTCTGTACACTTGTAAGAATGGAAAACATTCGGAGCAGTGGAAATAAACATGTGTGCCTGCTACATTTCTTGCAATATAAATATTTTTAAAGTTAACTATTTTCCAAAACATTTCTAAATAGATCTTTGCTACATCAAAACTAGTGCTGGGTATATGGACCAGTGCAAGAACATGGATTATATTTAGCTCATTGGGAATTAATAATACTTAATACCCAGTCACCGTACGTAGGCAGCTTCTAGGCCAGGTCGAATGAAATCTCCTTAATGTACAACCTGAAAAGTATTTTATTACCCCTAGAATTTTTTTTAAAAAACTTCGTAAAACTGGAAAAGCTTTTATGCAAACACACAAGTCAGAAGTTAGGACTTCTGACACTGTAAGTGTGCATATCCCCTTATTTACATTTCAGGCTGAAGCTTCCTGAAATTTTTAAGGACAAGAGATGTTCTATGCTTTCTTGCAATGACTTGATATTCTTCAGAAGATCTGCTGATCAGGCAGACTTATTAAATATTACTGGATGAATGAACTTATTAAAATGCAAGCGCTCCCCATCCCCATTTTTAAATGGTTAAAAAAAAAAGTCTCATTAATTACTGTTTTTAAAAAAGTAATTACTGCCCATGGAAGATAAGCAATGATACACATGGTATGTTAAAAAAAAAATACAAAAGGGCGATAAAAATAAAATAAATGCCCACTTCTGTATTATAAGATTTCATTTGCCATGTCAGGAAACATGTGAAGGATTTGAGAAGAGGTCTTGCACTTCAAGTCATTTCTACTGGTGGCACAATCTCCCCCCCCCCCCATGCAAAATACACTTTAATGCTGGATCTACTTAGATTATTACGTGATGTCCTTTGTGCATCAATTTTACAACAGCTTGACTCTAGGGTAAATGAGAAGCACCATAAACTGCAGTCTGCTTTCAAAACCACTTTAATTTCTGTCAGTGCTGCGGTTACCACAGTCCTGAGCGCATGATGCGCCACTTTTACCCACCCACCTCCCCTCTTTAGGGTTGCCTTCATTTGACAGTCACATCTCCTACACTCCAAGAGGGGCTTTGATCACTGGAACAAGACATGCCACTCTACGGGGAAGGGGTGGCGGCGAGGAAATAGTATTTTCCCTAAACGCATTCTAATTACAGACGCAGAACGCAGGAGCATCCCTTTCCCCAAGTGGGGCTTATGACAGCAACGCGCAGGGGTTAAAGTACACTTAAAATGCAAGGCAGCGAGCCCGGGGAAGAATCCATCCCCACTCATCCCTAGACTAGAAGACCACCGAATTTCTTCGTTCGCTGAGCCGGTTGGGTCTTTTGAAAGTGCTAGCAGAAATTAATGCAAACAGATAGTTTCCCTCTCTACCTCTTCAAAACATGCCAGTTCTTTAATAAAATGTCCACATCAAAAACAGCCCAGGGGAAAAAAGGCTTCAGAAAGGTAGGTCTCCTGGGTTTATTTTAACTTGTGTAACACCTTCAAGGGGGGGAAGGTGAAGATTTTAATGATGATGATGATGATGATGATGATAAGCGTTTTGCAAATTCCTAAGAGCACCTGACGTCTTGCTTTCTCTACCTCTGCCTTCTTGAATCACTTTCGTTTCCTGCTTTCTATGGGGCTCGCTTCCGATGTGCAGCGGCTGGCAATCTCTCCGCAGACCCCTTTCCTAGAAGGCTAATAATAATAATGGCCCTCCACGAAGCGCCTGCCCGTCTGCCTGCCTGAGATCTGCCTTCTCCTCGGCCGCCCGCCCGCAGCACGAGCCTTCCTGCCCGGGACAAGTTCTGCTAACGAACCGCGCCGCCTGCAGAGGTGAAAACTGCCAAGCACATGACCGAAAAGTCGCGCGCGGGACCGGCGGCTTTGCACTTCTGGCCGGGGAGCCCGAGGCGCTGGAGATCATAGAATACACTCTCTCTCTCCCACTCGCACAGAGCTCGCAGCCCACGTCCCTTGCCCCCCCCCCCCCGCCCATCGGCGACCCCCGATCTCTCCACTGGTGCACGCAGCCCTCCCTTGCAGGCTGCCCTTCGCCAACGCCGCGTACCCAACACACACCTCGAGCGAGGAGAGGAGAGGAGAGGGGGGGGGGATCTCATTCCTTAGCCCCTCCCGCTCTTTTCCCTCACCTTGGATGCCAGGAGCAGGAGGGGAAAGAGCTCCCATCCCATTCTCTCTCTCCCTCCCTCCCTGAAGGGAAGATGGTGGGGAGGGGGGAAGAGAGAGAGAGAGACAGAAACGACCCAACTTCAGGCCAACTTTCCAATCCGGACTCTGCTCTGCGCTTCGCCGCCTTCGCGCCCACCCCCCCCCCCGCCCCGTCCCCGCTTGTTTGTTTCGAAGGTTTTTGAGGAAACACGCTTCCTCACAGGCGGGGCTGTTTGCATTACGGCACGCTTCAAAAGGCGCGCGCGCACACACACACACGCACCCGCCACCCCCCCCCCCCAAAAAAACCACACCACACAACTTTTTTTTTTTTTTTTAAAGGAAATGTTGGAAAAACTTCTTACCATTTCGGCATGCTGCTTGTCAGGGGCACCCCCCGGCTCTGGAAGTCCTCGCGGCGGCGGCGGCGGCACCGGCCTTTCCTTCCTTCCTTCCTTCCTTCTCCCCCCTCACCTTCCTCACACAAATTCCTCCCCCCCCCTTTTCCCCCTCAGCAACACCAACAAGAAATCTCCGCAGCCCTCCAGGTGATTTCCAGACACGCGCGCGTGAGGAAAAGTCTCTCAGGCCCCCCCCCCCAAAAGAAATGTTCGGTGGGGGGAGAGAAAGGGGGGGAAAGAGAAGGGGGGAAATAAAAGGTTTGCTGAGGGGTCAAGAGGCGAGGAATGGGAGTCTGGTGCTGCCACAGGTTGGGGAGAAGGAGGGGGGAGGCTGTCCCCAATCTGAAAACACTGCGGCGGAGGCGCTTCCCTCCTCTTCCCTCCTCCTCCTTCGCCGTCCCCTCCCGCCGCTACTGTACCTCAGAGCAGCTTGTTATTGGTCCTGGGGAAGGCAGAGAGGAGGTGGGGAGGGGAAACGGGACACTTTTCTCTCCCCCCCCTTTCCTTGGGCAAAGCCAGGAGACCCAAGGAGAGGCCGCCTGCGCCCAGCTGTCAAGGAAAAGTGAGGGGAAAGCAAGCCGCCTAAAGCGAGACCCGGGAAAACTTTTATTCTGAGGAGAGCGCGCTCGCCCGGGACTCCCCTCGCCCTCCTCGGCGTGTGTGTGTGTCTGTCTGAGGCGCTTTCTCTCTCTTTGCGCGCTCTTGACGCCCCTACCGGGCCGGTTCCTCCTCACGAGCGAGCGGCGCAGCAGGCACACGCTCTCCCGCCGCCGCCACAGCCTCTGCTCCTGCCTCCGCTTCTCGTCTTCCTTATCAGCTCAAGGCGTCCAGGCGCCGCTGGAGAGAAAGACGGAGCGAAAGGGAAGGAGGAGGGAGAAATGGAGGAGCCCGCCGCTGCCGCTGCCGCCGCCGGGAGAAGCGGGAGCTGCTCCCCAAAGAGGAGAGCAAACTTGGGCCGCTCCTGAGGGGAGGTTTTTTTCCTCCCTCTCCCGTCGCGCGCAACGCCCGCCTTGCCCAGCTCACTTGTGGCCCCACTTCGCAGCTTCTCCCTTTACCTCACGGGCTGCGGTGCTTTGACCGCCCAAGCGCAGCCCTCGGGGATTTGTTTCTAACTGCCCACCGCCCTGCCTAAGTTGCGCGGGTACTCTGCGCAGCGCCGAGCCCGTCGGGGTTGTAAGTTTTTGCGCGCGGCTGGTCGCTTTGCTGGGCTAACGAGGCGAAGAGTCGCCACTGTGAGGCGGCGGCGGCGGCGGCTCTGGAGACCCGGAGAGCAGCCCGCCCGCCCGCGTCGGAGACACTGCGAAAAGGCGCTCGTTCGCCGCTTCAGTCCCAACACGTACAAAGGCGCCACAGACCAGGGCCTCTCCAAGTTGCGCATTACTGCTATTCCTTATCGTTATTTCATTATTTTTTATTATTGATTCACTTTCTAGAAAGTTACACGCTCCTTTCTTCAGCGTGCACGCCGGACGTTATTGGGCACGAAGTTTTGGCAAGGCTTGGCAAACTTCTGGGGCATCTAAACCAGGGATACCTTTCTTTCTTTCTTTCTTTCTTTCTTTCTTTCTTTCTTTCTTTCTTTCTTTCTCAGGTCTCCCGTTTGAGTTAATCTGTCATGGTTCACTTTCTCTCTCCATTAAAAAAGAAAACCCAACACTTTTATTGGCCAAGTTCTGTGCAGAAACCCCTCGACTTTGAGTCCACTCCCGTTTACTGATAACGAAGTTTTACTCAGCGAAAGCCTGTTGAAGTTAATGGACCTCTATGGTCATTCATTTCAGTGGGTCTATTCAGAGTAAAACTTAACTGACCTGACAGAATGGAGCACTTTGAGGCTGGAGCCCTATCTATAGACAGGGACCCGAGAGCAAATCTCAATCTCATTGAGTTACTTCTGACTAAACTTATATATAGGGCTGCTCTGTTAAAGCAGCTATTTTCCAGGGGCTTGACTTGGCTGGTCCTTGCACTTAGAAACGAAAATACCACCCACTCCTTATGGAGAACTTGCCATTTATTGTGTGTGTGTGTTTTAAAAAGCAAGTACTCATTACTAGAAGGAAAGGCCACCTTCATTCACTATTTCCTACAGTAGGAATTCACATGAGTCAAAATGACTTTTTTTTAAAATAAAGTAACCGTGGTGTTTAGTCTCCATCTGAGGAGTATGCTTCCATCAATTAAGATTCTCCTCCATCAAAATTCTTTGCTTGGCTCATTTGCCAGCTGGAGACTGCCTATTGTGTTAGTCACATTATCCTAGCCCTGCTCCTGTCCTGCTCTGATTTGGGAGGCTTCAAACGCATCAAAACCCTCACAACTTGCCTCCCACTTTGCTCCTCACCCAAGCAGCTTCTCCCTCACTTTCTTCCCTGCCTGCCCCAATTCGAAGCAGCCACAGCACATCTCTCCCCTCTCGCCAAACCAGCTTCTGCCCCACTCCTTCACCCCAATAGCTTTGTTATCCTAGGGATGGTGCACTTGTGGGCAGGCTTGGAGAAGGAGGCTGTTACTGGAAAATATATCATTGTCCTGTTCTTCTGTTTCAACCCCAAAAGTCACCTGTCTGCCTTCTCTCTCTTTGATATGCTCACAGCATGACCAAGCCACACAGAAAGGCAGAACAGGCTATGGGGAAAAAAAAGACACTACAACAGAGTGAATGTGGTGGAGATTTACAAATTTTGGTAAAGCTTGCAGCTTCAGGCAAGTTGCAGTCTCTGAGCCTACCTCAGAAGGTTGGCGTGAGGAGAGCATGCTCTGAGCTACTCGGGGGAAAGAGCTGTACAGAAAATATTTGTTGTTGTTTAGTCGTTTAGTCGTGTCTGACTCCTGGTGACCTCATGGACCAGAGCACGCCAGGCACTCCTGTCTTCCACTGCCTCCTGCAGTTTGGTCAAACTCATGCTGGTAGCTACGAGAACACTGTCCAACCATCTCGTCCTCTGTTGTCCCCTTCTCCTTGTGCCCTCCATCTTTCCCAACATCAGGGTCTTTAGAAAATATTTAAACATGTGCTAAACTTTGTATGGCTGCGATCTCCGTCACTTTTACAATTAAGCATCTGCTCCTACTCTAAGGAAGAGTGTGGCATGTGTTGTTCTTAAGGGATGCATAGAAAGCAGACTTGATAAAACTTCTGTAAGCTACATATCCTCTCTGTCAGAATGCATTTTACGTTTAAAAGCCTAGAGGGAAAAGAAAATCTCATAAGGTCACAATCTGAACACTACAGTGAGTTCTGCTAGAGTTTTGAAAAGTTTAAACACTTTCCCAATCCCTCCCATTTGCAGAACATTCTGAGAGTCTTGGGGCTATCTGCTGAGGGGAGGAATCAGTCTTGTGAAAAAACCATCCGCATTAAGATGGATGCAATATTTACTTCAGACTAAATGGTGTTTTAGGGGCAGAATGTTAAAATTACCACACTCTTATGTTCATGTTTCCCCATATTGCCTTCAAAACTGAAATTTAAGAAAGAAAGCAGTCTCCCAGCAGTTTATCAAGATCATGTTCTATCTATGAGTTTCATAGACAGCGAAGAGGTTAGTTTAGTACTGACTTAACTCTAAGAAATACAGGACTGAACACATCTCATTTCTCTGCTTAGTAAAAAAAAAAAAGGATTGCTCTTTTTGCTTTCTACTCCAGAAGAAGATTAAGGGACAGATTTTCAAAAGCAAACATGACACTTCAGTGCCTGTTTGGTGCTGACTTCTAATGGAATTTAGACGCCTCAGATATCCTGAACCCAGTGAAGCATGAAACCAGCAGAGCACTTTGCAGAATCAAGCTAAGGAGACATTTGGGCCTTTGAAAACATGCCCCTGCAGCAATTAGTCGTAAAGCTGTCGTCCCCATAAAGCTGGTGACACCATAAACGCAGCTCCTTCTGCACTCTGAGCAGCTGTACCGAACATAAGGTACAAAAGGCTTTGCTGGATTTGCAGGTGCTGTTTTACCTCTGCTTGCCAAACTACTTACAGCAGCAGCAGCAGCATCTTAACACAACTTCTCTCTTCAGCCAGTGACAGCAGATGACGTTGCCAAAATGCTCCCCCTCCCCTCCCCAAATCCTTCCTGCACTAATTCCAGGCTTAATTTATTTACTGTTTTAATTTGAAGGCAACATACACTGTTCTTCTTCCATGTTGTTGTTTTTAAAAAAATTCACAATAACCCTCCGAGGTAGGCTAGGGCTGAGAGACTGAGCGGCTCAAGGTCACCAAGTGAGGAGTGAGGTGCAATGAGGATTTGAACCCTCGCCAACCCCCCAGCTCTAGTCCAATATATTAACTTCTACATCACACTTGCTTTCACATGTATTCCCTACTCATTGTGCTGCCAGAAAGCAGGTCACTTCATCTTACTTCCAGGAAGATCCACTCTTTCGATCGGCACACCGAGTTCAGTTGTACTAGGGTATAAAAAGAAGGGAAGCACTAATTCAGAAATGTTTTGAGAAGTCTTTCACTTTGGAAGTCGTTATATATGAATATTTGATGGGTGCTGAATAAAGGAAAACCAGAAAGGCAGCTTGCAGTATCACAAAACTGTAGGAGTCACCGTCCCATAGAACTGTCCTGAACACAGATAAACATTTTACAGTGGTACCTTGGGTTAAGAACTTAATTTGTTCTTAACCTGAAACTGTTCTTAACCTGAAGTACCACTTTAGCTAATGGGGCCTCCCGCTGCCATTGCCACGCGATTTCTGTTCTCATCCTGAAGCAAAGTTCTTAACCCGAGGTACTATTTCTGGGTTAGCAGAGTCTGTAACCTGAAGCGTCTGCAACGCAAGATACCACTGTATAAATCTGATATATCTTTACCACGCCCACTGTGCCTCCAAGTGATTCTGCATGGCATAGAATTGTAGGGTTGGGGGGGGGGACTATGTGGGTCAATCTAGTCCGACCCCCTGCAATTCAGGAATCTTTTTGCAAATGTGAGGCTTGAGCCCACAAGCATATACACAGGGTTCTCCTATTCTGTCCTCACAACAACCCTGTGAAGTAGGTTAGGCAGAAAAAGAATGCATGGCAAAAAGGCCACCCAGTGAGCTTCATGACTGACAGTGAGAGATGTGGCACAATCTCCCTCCGGAGGTTGTGAACTCTCCTTCCTTGGAGGATTTCAGCAAAGGCTGGATGGTCATCTGTCACGGATGCTTTAGCTAAGATTGCTGCACTGCCGGGGGTTGGACTATATGAGCCTTAGGGCCCCTCGCAACTCTACAGTTCTGTGATTTTTATGATTCTTGGATCAGGTCCAGTGCTCTATCTGCTAAACCACACTGGCTCAAATAAGTAGTTACGGCGCTGCTTTGATGTCAGCAACCTGAATATGTGAATTCACCTTTAGGCCACAGCTGCAGATCTTTAATTGTTGTGCATGTGGGAGGAATGAGAGCACGACAAGAGTGTTCCTGTTTAGACATGACTGGCACATCCATGCCCTTACACTTCTCCTGCATCTTCCCACTGTGTTGACAATGCAGCTGACCAGTATTGGGCTTGCTCACAGGGCAAATGGACACTACTCAGGTACCATGTAGACCTCCTGTGTCTGCCATATCAGAGATACACTGAACCTAAATATTCCCATTCATAGATACACCGCTGTATGGCCAGTGTACACACACACACACACACACACACACACACAAACACACACCAGACTCAAATGACAAAGCTTCTCTTGGGCTATAATATTTCAGTCTGCGAAAGTCCACTCCCATCCTAAAAGGGGTGTGAAACTCTCACTGCACTCAGGGGTGGGGGAAAGGAAACAGAATGTTTGGGAGAAGGCTAGGATGAATCCTTGAAATGCTAGTTTTCCACATGCAGGAAAAAAAGTGGGAGAGGCTGAACTATGCCAGAGATGGGCAGACTTGAGGTGTGTGGAATAGACAGTGTTTTTTTGTTTAAATTTTTCCTAGATTGCCAGGACCTGCCAGTTGCAGGCAAATGTTTGAACAGTGGCTCAGTGGGAAAGAAGCACACTTGACCATAGATAAGTTTACCCCAAAGTAAGACCCGCTGAATTCAATGGGGCTTCCTCCCAGGAAACTGAGGGTATGATCGCAGCCTTAACAAAGTGCAAGAACTACCTCAGAGCATATGCTCAGCCCAGCATTTGTATGCAGTATCAGAAATGAGCTCTCAGTCACAACCTTGTCTCACAAAAAATCTACTCCTGGTTTCTCCCATCCCAAGGTGTTTTCACCCAACGAAGTACAGTACGCAGTTCTGGCAACTTTCTTTCCTGGAAAAAAAGCATTGGCACTTACTGTAACAACTTCATGGTGAATACTGGCACCTTCTTTTCTAGAGGAAAAGCACTGATTTCAGCTATTGTCAAACAGAAGTCAAAAATTCTTGCTAATCTACTGAGAGCTACCAATCTACTGAGAGTTGCCTGGAGAGCTACCAGTGGACCACAATCTACCTTTTGCCCGTTCCTGAACTATGCAAGCCAATCATACCTTCTATAAGCCCAGGAAATATTTTTGCCACTTGATTCTTGTGCTTGTGCAAACAAGTTGTGTTGCTCACCCACTCTGGCGGCCCGTAGGGAAGCCAGTAACAGTACATACACAAAACAAGGCTGTTTAATGTGTGCCATTCTATTAGGCTTTAACTTTAACAAGACCTCTTTCTTGCAAAGTCCAGATGGATGTGGTTCAACAGCTCAGCAATCGTGTTAAATGAGTTCTTGCACCAGACAGTGCAGAAAGATGTTGTGAAATTAGGAAGCAGAAAGCTCTTTATTATAATAGGAAGGGTGTTTTTGTTTGTTTGTTTTAAAATAGAATAGATATTTGGAATTAGTATCTGATGTGCATTCCAGAAAAGGAGAAGAATGAAAAAAGTTGGTTACTCACTTTGGCATTGCACCTTGTTTTTCACACACACATTAAAAATACTCATGGTTCATTTCCCTTTTGGAAGAAGAAAAAAACTCGGAAGCTGTACCCAGGTCTTACCAAAATGTTGTGCCCATGAAGCCCCCTAGTGGTTATATAGACTCATTATCCTGTATTCATCTCTCCTGATTCCACATTGGCCAAGGGCGAGTATAGATTCAGCTCTATTAATTGTGCAATGTGCAGTGGTCCTTTGAAGAAGAGGCTGATATTACCCGTCACGCCATAAGCCTATAAAAGACAGTGCCTGGTCCTGGGGCAATGGCGCTTTGCCACCATATGAGCGCAGTGCCAACTTCTCCAGCAGCTGTGAGTAACCTGCGAACTGGTCGCAGGAGGTACCTCTGAGAACAGGCACTCCAGTCAAATATATTACAGAGAAATCCTTCATATTCCCAACCTAGACTCTTTTTCTGGCATTTTTCCTAGATTCTGAGTTTCCCCGGTCCAGCAAATGTGCACATTCTGCTGTAACACCCATTAAAATATATTTTATATGTTTTATTTTGGTTAAAAAAAAATGCATAAAAGGCAGAAACCCCCGTGCTGTTTGTTGATACTAACATTCCATTTTTATGCCATTCTCAAGAAACTAACCAGTTCTGTGTCACAGGTCTGTCTTTGACACTACCCCTTGTATGCTACTGCAAGTGATGGCCACCTGTCACGAATGCTTGAGCTGAGATTCCTGCATTGCAAGGGGTTGAACTGGACAACCCTTGGGGTCCCTTGCAACTCTACAATTCTATGATTCTATGAATTCAGATGCCAGCTCCTGCTGCCTCCTGTCTCTCCCTGACGCGTAGCTTCGCTGTCCTGTGTGGTTTTATTTATTTTCATTATTTACCTACATTTATAACCCTCCTTTCCTCCACGGAGCTCGAAACAGCATGCATGATTTCTCTCTTTCCCCCATTCTGTCCTCACAAACAACCCTGTGAGGTTGATTAGGCAGATAAGGACTGGTCACCCTGTAAGCTTCATGTTGCTGAATGGAGATTTGATTGGTTCCCCAGGTTGTTCTTCGGCTCGCTTAACAGTCAGAGTCTAACCTATTGCTGGATCAAGCTCCTGTAGACCTCTAAATTAGCTCACGTGGACTTGCAAAATAAAAATAGTATTTCAGTTCCATGCATGTTTTTTTATTCATATTGTTGTCCACCTTCTAGTATTAGCTTTAACTACGCACCAGTGTGATGCATTGTAACGAATTAGGGTTGCGGCAGGGGCGCCAACTTGAATAAAATATTGCGGGGGGCACCCTGCATAATTGATCACATGACAGGGTGCGCACACACCATTTGAATGGCAATGCTCATCAACTTTGGAGAGGCCCGGCCCACTCAAATATTTTATTGGGGGCGGGGCAAAGACAACTCAGCCCCTAGGAGTCAGCTCCTATGGGTTGTGGGGACCAAATTCCCATGTCCGCTCGGCCATGGAGCTCTCTGCATAACCTTGGGTTGATTTATCTCTCAATGTTACCTACCTCATAGGTTTATTAGTGAGGGTAAAATGAGGAGAGGAGAAACTTGTATGCCCCCTTGAGATATCAGAGATACAGTGGTACCTCAGGTTACATACGCTTCAGGTTAAAGACTCCACTAACCCAGAAATAGTACCTCGGGTTAAGAACTTTCCTTCAGGATGAGAACAGAAATTGTGCTCTGGCGGCGCGGCGGCAGCGGGAGGCCCCATTAGCTAAAGTGGTGCTTCAGGTTAAGAACAGTTTCAGATTAAGAACGGACCTCCGGAACGAATTAAGTACTTAGCCCGAGGTACCACTGTAATATACTATTCCCAAATGTAATATAATAGCCTTCAAAACTAGGGCGACCAAGAACCTGCATACATGACATGGATGTAATTAGAATTTGCAACCATTTGTCCTTTTTTTGTTCTTTGAAGAACTTGGTGTTGATTACATGCTCCCATTCAGTTTCTTAATATTCCTGGAAATTCCTCTAAAAGATAGCACCCGGTCAAGTCAAAATCAAGCTCTTTGAAGGCCCATTCATTTCCAAGGGACTTAAAGTCCCTAACTTTCATAGGGATCGTGATCCTGTCTGTGAAAGCTCACCCAAAAGCCTAGGTTCTCAGCATTCTAACAAGATTTCTGGGTTCAGGAAAAATGAAATTTCTATTCCAGTTGCTTTGCAACTCCAACACTGGAGGAAGGAAGGAGCTCCAGATAATTATTGATGCTAGGAGGAAACGTACGTATGCATCTGTGCCGCACTGACACATTTATTTTACTTAAATTATACATTCTGCTAATGTATCTTGCCTCATACCTCATCTCCTTAGATAGTTATTTGTTCATGCAGAAATGCATACTGTTGCTAACCATCAATTGTGTACTCACAGGAACTAGAAGGTATGTGGAGAGCATTTTTAACTCTTGACCGTTAGCACACGGCGCTAGCTTGCTGCAGCTAAAAACTTCGGCTCATGGTGTCTGTTGGGTACATTAAAATACATTATGTGGATATATATATATATATATAAAGCATCATAAATCAGCATGCATCAAAATGAGCATTTTTCTTCTGCTGCATGGGAGATTGTATGCAGTGCTCTACCAAGACACAATACATTTATATTGAACTGCTTATATTTTCCACCTACATAAGTTGTTGAGACAAGTATATGCGAGAGCTAACTAAAGAGCTGTAGGAGTGGGTAAGCATTAGTCACTGTGTTTGCCCATTTATGAAATGTTGTTAAAATAATACCATGTGAACTACTGAGTTGTATGCAATGCTTCTTCAATGTAAAAAAAAAGTTATTTTAAAGCAAAATGCAGCCAGATGAAGAGGCAAATGTACAAAAACAGTTCACACATTAAATGAATAGAACTTAAGCACGTGTTTTACTCAAGTTTTTCCTCAAATCATGCACGCCTAACTTCCCTTGAAATGCAGGCCATCTACTAAACAGCTACAGTTCTGCGGCTTTTTGGGTGTAGGAAAAACACCAATCTAGACTGCATTGCCTCCCATAACAATATTGGTATTTCCTGTTTAATTCTGTATTTGATCATATAGGATAGGCTTGGATGTTTTTGGTTTTGGGATGGGGGGGAGGTATAAAGAATGGCTGAAATATGGGCCAAGTCACATTTTTGTAAGGAAGTTGGAAAGGTAGTTGCATTCTTCCAGCGGTTCATTTTACAGTTTTCTTTGAAGGCAAAAAAAGTGATCACTATGGTTTTCCATATTATAGGTTATAGCTTGTTAATATTTTACAGGATAGCACGATGATCACACACATCCTGCAAATCTTTTTGCCAAAAAGCAACCATGTTTTAGTTCAACCTGTTAGAAACTGATTCATACGTGACTTTTACTCCTCCCTTCCCTCAAACACTGAAACATGCCACAGTTGGGTAGAGGAAGAAGACAGAAACACTCATTGAGAAAGTCGGTATTAAAAGCAACACACTGGATGAAGTTTTCCAAAACTCCAAAGGATAATTCCATTCAGCTGGAAAAGCACTGTGGAAACAAATCCCATAATCATAATGCAAGACTACCGAGTCATAGACCAAATTTCACACTCTCACGTTAACCAAGCATCAGGTGTTCTCAACTTTTAACAACGTTGATAGGTGATGACAATGACACTTTATTGCATATATCAGACACTTTATATAAAGCTAAAAGTCTCAAAGTGTCCTGGCAAGATAAAGTAGAATGAAAGCAATTTAAAACCAGAAAAATCTAAAGCAGTGAACAATACAAAGTACCCCAAATGCTCACACAGTAACATATTAATGACTAGTACTAGCCACTCCACTAAGAGAGGAACACCACAGGAAACAACTTAATTACCTTAAGGAATAAGTAAAAGGTCTTAGCCTGGTGTCTATAAAGACTGACAAGGATGATACCAGGCACATTTTCCTAGGGAGAACTTTCCACCGATTGGGGAGGGGCCAGGCTGTCACCTCCTGAAATGACCTGTTCTTGTGCTGCCACCCTCCACACCTCCCTCAGGTGGAGCACACAGAGAAGCGCTGTTTAATTGTCTTTTAAACAGAGGAAGCGGTTATGTCATCTGCTGGAGTAGATGACGCAATGACAGTAATTGATGGACCCTCTAGAAAGTGAATGAAGAAGCAATGAGGATTTCAAGTTTGGTTCTGAAAGGTGAGCACAGAAGTCAGAGAATGAGGGAAATGATTAAGCAAAGACTGTGCACGTCTTTCTCTTCTTTGATGGGGTTCGTATTTCATGCTGGCAGTTGAAATGTTAACAATTCCCTGCATTCTTTCTTGTATTTCTGATTAAAAGTTATAGGTTGCATTTCAGCTGGCTGATGATCTGTCATTAAAGGTCAATGTTTTTACAAGTTGAACCTATGTAGTCAGAAGCAAGCACCAGCAAGTTCATTATAGCTTGCTCCCAAGTAAGTATGCATAGAATTGCAGTCTTGCTGATCCAAATAAATTGGGCATTTTGCTGCATACTGTTGCTATGGGTGTGCTCGCATGCACACAGATAGATCTGTACAGTACTTTGCATTTTTGCACTCTCTTTGGGGGCATGGCTGTGGCAGCTGTCATGATGTGCTCTTGACCTTCAACATTTACCTTTGCAGCACCTCACTGCTGTAACTATTGCAAACAATGTAAAGAGTAAAGAAAGACAGTGCATTTATTTATATTTTTATACTTTTACCAGGGTAAAGAAAGTCGGCCTAATATAATGAGCTTGCTTACAACTCAGCCTCCCTTAGGTTTCCAGCCTTAATACTCACCCTCAAGAAACTTTAAACACAATACTCCTGCATCACGGGAAAGTCCATGACAAAGTGTTTGATTTAGTTTACTCACATTCAACAAAGGTTAAGAAATTACTATCAACTTCTCTTTGCAAGTACTGTAGAGATAACTGGGATGACCACTATTCAACTATTAGTTTTCTATGCAGAGGGAGGAAAGAAATAGTTGCGAGCAAATTAACATACAATCCTTATTTTTCCGTATCTAGCTAGTTTATTTTGGATACCCTGTATTTTGACTTTATTCATGTATAAAGCTTGGGAGTGTGCTTGTAACAACAAAGCTCTAGCAATGTGGTTCACTGGCTGATGAGCTGAATTTTAAGCAACATATCCTAAGGGTGTAAAACGAACCAGAATCTTGTTTATATATCCACATCCCACTTTAAGAGGCAGCTATAGATTTACTTCCTTTGAAATTTCTAGCATATGAAACAATCTCTTTTAAAGACATAATTCAGCTGAACAATCAACAGAAAGAGAATTGCAGTCCTAGAGATGCCACAGAGGCAGAGGCAGGTCTTAATAGTTAGAGGCTAACGGCATTGCAGCACCGTTGCAACTTTCCAAGCCTCCTTGATGCATGAATGCTACTTGCTGCAGCATCAGGTAGTGGCTTGCATGTGAGAACATCACCCCCCCCAAAAAAAGGCGAGAGGGTTTCATACCATAATGTGCATGCTGGTTTTAAAGGGAGTTAGTTCACACACTGAGTAATTGAAGTGATGGGAGCCAAATGAAGTGTATGTATGTGTGAAGCAGCTTGTAGACATTCAAAGCAAGTGACAACAGCAATTTGCCGTTTACTGTAAGGCTCAAAGGACTTCAGACCACACGGGGACTTATCAGCAGGGGCAGCTCTGCTTGAGTAGAAGAACAAGGTGGTGCTGCCTCCATGCTTCAGACAGAATCCTAACTGGACTGTCAGATGAGTCGTTCATACTGGCAACAGGTCTGTGCTGCTGCACCAGAGAGCAGCAGGCTGACTTAGGGGACACAGATCAAGCCACCTGGCAATTGCAGCCCTCTCCACCCCCCACCTGCCTCACTGCACCTAATGGGAGAGTGACCTCTGACCCCCTAGGGCAGGCAGGCGGGGGTGCCGGCAGGCTGGGTGATAGGCAAAGAGGGCTGCTAGCACCACTTGTCTGATGACCAACATGGCAACTACAGTCCAATGGGATCAGGTGACATGAAGGGCTTAATTCAGCTGCTTCGTCGTTTAAGACTTTCCATTCCAAGACACTTTGCTGGCATCACCCAGAGCTGATACACGAAATTTTTCTCAGGCCCAATAAAACTTTTTTTACACTCTTTCCTCTTTTATCCAGCCCTGTCCCAAACTACCCCACATGGTGCTTCTGTACATCAGATGACTGCATCACCTTGGGTTATTGCTACTCAGCCGATCGTCTGTGTGAGTCACATGACATTGTATTCGGTCAGCTCCACATGATTGCACTCTCAGCAACTCCATGCTCTACTCGTGTCCCGAACAGACACTTAGGAGACTGCGCAATCAGAGATAATATTCTGGATGATTTACGTGTCTCCCTGCTATGTTGCCATTTTAAATTTCCAATTTCTTCTGAACATCTTCCAAGATAAGTGCCCACTCACACTATCAAGAGCTCATAACCCACCAACTCTCAGCAGCCAGAAACATCATAGCCAGACACTGGAGAGACCTGTCAGGAATAAACATGGAACACTGGTATCAAGAAGTATGGGAAAGAGCCTTAGTAGAAAAGCTAACCAAAAGACCGAAACGGACACGGGGGCAAATAGAAGAAGATGCCTTCACTCTGGTATGGCTCCCCTTTATCACATACACAGCCCAACAAAACAACAACACAAACCCACCAACAGCATATGATTCAGTATGGCTAACTTAACCCAACAACTCCCCCCACCCCATGCACAAACAAATCCCACTGCAGCCAACCAAAGACAATCTACCACACCCTAGGCCACCCCAACCTCTCTCACCACCGAGGAAACATAACAAGTGAATAGAAAGAGAAGCTACCCAAGTAACGCTGGCACAAAAACCACATTTATGCACTAAGTAAAAGAACATAAGCTTCACCAGCCCACCAGCCCTCTCTCTCCTGTCTCCACCTCTTTTCTTTCCAACCCTCTGTAACACCAATGTCTCACAACAAATGTAACTGATCTGTAGAAAACACAACCTGAAGAAAGAGACAACACATGTGCTTTTGTAAATGAGGAAAATATTTCATAACACACACACACACACACATATAAAATCTCTAATTTATTTTACTTTATTCTGTGATGTAGAGACAGACACTACAATTCTGCACATGCTTTCTCAGAAGTCCCAACATCTTCACTAGGTCTCAGTCTCCAGTAAGTGTATTCAGGATTGGAGCTTGATGCAAAACAGCAAAAGACCTTTATCATTAGCAGCAGGTGAAGTTGATACCTAGTTGGGGGATGTGGGGGTGAATAAGCCCTACTTATACTAATGAATGTTATACTGATAAATGGAATCTATATGCATGCATTAGCTGGGCTCTCTTTGTTGGTGCTGTTTTTGCCTTCCTTGAGAGAGCAATCTAAAAGCACCTTTAATCATAAAAGATAAATCACAGGAATATCTTAACACCGAGAGACAAAAGAAGGTTCTCAGTTGATTCAAACACTATTAAGTTTTTAGTTTACCTTTGATCACTTCAAAAAAAAAATTGGCGAACTCTCTAATGAAATGTAACCTATTATTGAAAATGAAAGATTTACAATGAATCTGTCCCATTTAATTCTTTATCCTTGTAAGATAATATTTGGCCTACACCTCATAATCAAATGGGTATCAAGGCAGATCAGCATTTTTAAGAACGAAAAAGGCACCAGGTGAATATAACTGTAATGCTATACATGCTTTCCTGAGAATAAGCTCTGTCGAACACCAAAACTTACTCTTTCTTTTCTTTTCTTCTTTTTGGTAGGATAAGTATTTAGGAACTTACTTCTGAATAAGCCTGGGATGGGGAATCTTTGGCCTTCCAGATGTTACTGAACTATAATCCCCATTAGCCTCAGCATGCATGGCCTTTGACCACAGTTGATGGGAGTTGTAGGTCAATAACATCTGAGGGGCCAAAGGTTCCCCACACCTAGAAAAAAGCACTCATAAGATTGTGTTGTCAGAAGACAGCTATTTAAATATTTAGCTTATATTCTGCTCTTCCTTTTGGAACAGTCATAATATGTATGTAATTTATATCTCACTCTTACTCCCAAAGGAGCCCAGGGTGGCAAACACATCTACAGTATATTAGGGGAAGCGGTTTGTCAGTCAGTCAGTTTGTCTGTCTATTTGTTTCTCTATACATTAGGACACCTTTCAATAAATTGCTGGCAAACTTGGCACAAGCATTCCCAAGGTTGGGGTGGCAGTGGACTTCATCACTGTTTGGGTACCAGTTTGAATCAAAATGGTGGACTGAAGCATGACTTTGGTGTGACTTTGCCTATTTTTTTGGCATAGGTTTGACTGCCACTAAATATATTGCCCCCAGACTTGGCACAGGAGTTCCGGAGGTGGGGGGGGGGTCTTAATTGCTATTTGGATGCCAGGCACCATTCTGAATCAAAGTGGCAGACTGAAATGTGACTTTGGCATGACTTCAACCAATCTTTGGTGTGATCGGCTCAAACTCACAAATTACCCTATCTGGAGCAATAAAATTGACCAGTCATATTCAGGTGGTTATTTCCTTAACTTAATAAAACCGAGCAAGAAAACCAGAAAATCTTCAGTTGATTACCATTTTGCATTTTGCCCAAGCCATGAAACTATGGATAAGAGCTTCGGAACAAGCCAGGGTATTAAGCCAACTTCAAACGTAGACTTGTTATGAAGCTGTTAACCATAGTTTACCAGTTCAGATGAAGTGGCAAGTGGTATTTAAATGAAGATTTCCTGGTTTATTTGGTGGCTCACACAAAGGAGCCACACATGTGGGCAAGATGCTCATTTGTATCTCAGCTTACTAAGCTAAGATATGACCATCCAAACTCTCCCACTGTCACCACCAACATCTTACAACAATAGGCAGTGCCCATGCATTTCCCAGGCCCCATGCGCCAGGATAACATCTTGCCTGACACCACATGAGTTAGCGCAAGCACCATAGGCTGCTTATCTGTTAACTTTCCAAACTGCTCATACTTTTATCCCCTGTGCAGTCAATTAGCAATAAGGTTCTTAATTAGTCTGGCCCACCTGGCTATTTTCCTCCTAATAAATCAATTAATTCAAATCACATTGAGGTCTTTGTATTTAGTACGACAGCTCAGTCATTACTGGTCATCATTGGGTGGGACTGCTGTGCAAGCCGCAAGAACTTGCTATCTGAGCTGAATTTTTATCCTCTGTTGTTGTGGAGCCTCTCAAGTAAGCTGGGAGTGTGACTAGTAATTTTAATGCCGGTTGAGATTCAGCAAAAAAAGGTCTAGTCCAGGGAAGATGTAAACAGGCTACCATGCCAACCTGCATATACTTCATCTGTATTTGAATAGTAAGGAAAATATTCACTTTAGACCTAAATGTCCAGAGGATCCTGGCGCTGCTGCTCAATTTTCAGTAAATTCTGAACCAAATAAATACTTTTTAAAACATGAGAAATTGTCTCAAAGATGTGAAAGCTGGGGTGCTGCTTCCAAGTCCACAAAGTCATAGAAAATATCCCGATCACAACCAAATAATGCAAGCGTAATGTCAGTAATTTGGCCAATAATAAAGTTGATTCTTTAGGTAGTGTGTAGAACTTTTGGCCTTCCAGATGTTGCAGATCTACAATGCGCATCAGCCCCAGCAAACATGGTCGATGGCTAGGAATTATGGGAGTTGTAGTTCAGCAGCATTTGGAGGGCCAAAGGTTCACCACACCAGCCTCAGGTTATTAGCTATGATTTAGGATAAATTTGTTAAGGACTTGTCCCCTTTTGAACTTGAACACAAATGCTCCCTCCTCCAGTTTAGGAATTCCCTCCCACTAACAGAGGGGAAAGGATGGATTGCCTGGGGCCTCTACGGCAGGTTTAGCATTGCTAGGAAATGAAAAATCGACACCTATTTAGCTGCCCATTTGTCACCTTGCTTGATAATAATAAGACACCCTTTAAAATTCCCAGCTGAGCAGCCCTCAAGCTTTTAAAGCTGGTATCACTGACCTTTGCAAACCTCACCATAAAAGTAATTTCTGCTGAAACCAATAGGGTGGGCAGGATCCAGCCACAGTTAAACTTTTCTGCAGCCGGTCCTTCTGCATATTTACTAGATGCAAATCTCACTGAATTCAACTTGACTCTTTCCCAAGGAAGTAAGGAAGTGTCTATCAAATTGTAGCCTAATAAACACATTCCTTTGGAACAACTTGGTAGGACTTACCATTTGAATAAAGCACACAACACCAGCTCACCAGGGATGGGATTTTACTTCCCAATTGGGCAGATGCAGGTTCTGTGGGAGAAGCTTGGGATTCATCAAAGGCTCCTTTGCATGCCAGCAGCTTCCAAGTCCACTCAATGGGAACAAATTTATTTCAGGTGTCCATTATAAAAGAACCATCACTTTCTCTTATTGGCTCAACATCTGCATCCTAACTGGGTTGTTGAAGTCCAAAGGTAAGTCTGCAGACAACCATTGGTGCCTAGGCATGCTTGTATTGGTTGCTCAGATTAGGGGAAAATTGATACTGATATGTATAGGCTATGAGAGATTTTACTTTCTTGGGCTCCATGATCACTGCAGATGGTGACAGCAGCCACAAAATTAAAAGACGCCTGCTTCTTGGGAGAAAAGCAATGACAAACCTAGACAGCATCTTAAAAAGCAGAGACATCACCTTGCCAACAAAGGCCCATATAGTTAAAGCTATGGTTTTCCCAGTAGTGATGTACAGAAGTGAGAGCTGGACCATAAAAAAGGCTGATCGCTGAAGAATTGATGCTTTTGAATTATGGTGCTGGAGGAGACTCTTGAGAGTCCCATGGACTGCAAGAAGATCAAACCTATCCATTCTTAAGGAAATCAGCCCTGAGTGCTCACTGGAAGGACAGATCCTGAAGCTGAGACTCCAATACTTTGGCCACCTCATGAGAAGAGACGACTCCCTGGAAAAGACCCTGATGTTGGGAAAGATGGAGGGCACATGGAGAAGGGGACGACAGAGGATGAGATGGTTGGACAGTGTTCTCGAAGCTACAAACATGAGTTTGACCAAACTGCGGGAGGCAGTGGAAGACAGGAGTGCCTGGCGTGCTCTGGTCCATGGGGTCACGAAGAGTTGGACACGACTAAACGACTAAACAACACTGGGACAGACCACACTTACCCTGCACGCAAAGTGTCCTAGATTCAGCATCTCTGTGTAGGGTTGGGAAGGACCCCTGCCAAAAGCCCTGCCAGTCGGTGTAGGTAGGAGGTAGACCATGCTGAGCTAGATGGGCCAGCGGTCTCTCACCTTTGTTACCTTCCTAAAAGCAAGGATCACACAGAATGCATTTGCTTTATATGGTGCCTGCCTCTCCCTTAGCCTTCAAATGGGCTGATTGAGCAATGCCATTAGTATCTGTGAAATACCTTGGCAGTCCCATTGGAAAGGTGCTTCATAAGCACACCGTGTATTGCATGCATAAGTAAACCGTGCCTGAGTTATTTCTCTGCAGGGAGGAATGTATTGGTTTTTAATTGTTGATTTTAATGGATTAGAGTAAAATATTGTTTTCTTTTATTTGATCTTCGTCCCACGGTGCTCCTACTTTTTCTTCCTCCTCATCAGCAGCGACAGTTCCCTCTTCAGACTTTTAATTATCTCTTCCAGGACCCCCTTGTTTTACCAACGGTGGTGGCAGTTTTATTGCTCTGCTGAGGCCCAGTTCGGCAGTTATTCCCTCTCCACTGTCCATTCCCCCCCCCCCCCCGCCAGCAGGGAGGGCCGTGCCAGTTATTTATCTGCTCCTTCAAACCAGCAGAGCAATGGGGAGGTAGGAGGGTCGGCGCGGAAATTTCATGAAATAATCAAATGGCTCAAGTCCACTCCTCAGCAGGAGGCTCCATGAGACACCATGTTGCCCAGCACTGGAAGAAAATCAACACACTCGTTTAAGTGATCTAATGTTACATTATTAACACTCTCTCATTAGAGGAACCTCCACTAACAATCATTACTGAGTTTCTGCAGGCAATCAGTGAAACCGAGTCTAGGAATGCACAGCTGTCTTAAGCAGGAGGCATTCATTAAAGGCAACAGCTGCTAACACAGGGAGGGCAGTGGTCATCTACGGGGTTGAGGTCTGGCCTTGCCTTCCTGCCTGACCATGGCCTTTCAGTGTAAAGGGGGGGGGTTCATCTCACAGGGACCCCTCCTGGTTCCATGAAGTATTCTAACCCGCAACATAGCTGCGGACAGAGGGACCTGCTTTCATAAAACAAAGGACTAACTGATAAGGACCCAGAATTAGATTAGAGAAGAGACAGTCTTGGTAGGGTTTCTTTTCTTTCCAAGTCCTAATTAAGCTCATTACCTTTGCTTTCTTCCACTGAAAGATGCAGTGCACATAAAGCCTTTTTCACTTCATGTTGATAAGACCTCGAGATAGGTCTGAGCCAGTTGCATCACACCCCCAGGGGCAGATTTTGGTACTATGGCACCCTGAACTA